TTATAGTGTATATTTATTTTACATATTATAGTGTAGAAGTAGAATATTTAAAAATTTGTATGAGGAAGTAAAATAATTGTACTTATCCAAAAGTGTTTGACAATTTATGTACACAGTAGTTTATGATAGTTCAGTTTTATCTTGGTTGTATATAATATATAGTTGTACACATTTTATATAATTATATTACATACAGGCACATGGAAATTCAGTTTTGTATTGAATATACATGCATATACACACTTAATTCTATATACATATAAAATTTGTTATATATAAACATATATGAAAGAATATTTGTTTTTTAATGATAACCTATTGTTTATGAAAACTGGAAGAGTAAATTTCGTTTTGATGTACATTTAGGTAATTATTGTGAATTACTGTGCTAATGTATTAAATAACAATCACAATAGTATTTAAAAAATATGGTAATTAATTCACATTTAAAAATATTTTTCATTCGAATTCTAGCAATAATTTTTGTATTAATTTGTGTTTATAGTGTGGTCAATGAAATTATTCTTATTTATAATAATTTAATTATTCAATTACAATAATATGTAATGAAATTTAATTAAATATTCAAAATTTAAATAGGTTTAATTAGTTATTTTAAAATTTTGAAAATATTTTTATAAAATAATTGAAAAATAATTGTTTCGCCTTGCATTTTTAAAATTTTAATAAATTTTTAACATTTATTCATAATATTTTTCTTTTCAGTATAAACTCGTATTAAAAATTCAGCTTCTTCATTTGGATCATATGTTGATGGTACAATTAAATAATCGCCAGGTAATAACTTAAAACGACCTGTAACTTCTCTTAAATTAACAAAAGATGAACGGCATATTGAAGCTTTATATTTAAAAAATTCTAATGGTTGTTTTCTAAAAGCTAAATCAGCTTCATCCAATGAATATATTGAAAAACCAATTGTTAAAAATTGTACACCAAGATGTTTTTGTGCACGTCTATTCTTTTGCATTAAAGCTATTAAAACAGAACATGTATCATCATCATCTTCATCATCTGGATCGACTAATGTAACTTTAAATTGTGGATTTCTCCAAAATGTTTTCAAAAAATTTCTACAACCACCAGCTGTTACATTTTGTATCCATTTACCTTCAGCTAATGATGTCTCCCAAATAAATCTATCAACATCATCTTCATCATCATCACCATCATTTGGTTCTTCAATTAACCAATCTGGTGTTAAATGACATATATCAAGTAAATCAAAATTATGATAAAAATCTTGTAATGACATCCAAAATTCACCATCATGATCAAAATTTAAACCAATTTCTTTTTTAACATTTTCGGGTATAAATTGCCATTCTGGTGATTGATCACTCCATTGTCCATGCCATTCAACATCATTACCCCATGGATTACGTAAACGTATCATTGGTATTTTTCCAGTTTTATTTGGTGTTTGAATATCGATAAGAGCAACTTTTGTTATTGAATATGCATGACCACGTATTAAACCATCTTCAGTTTCACTTTCCAATTGTGAATCATCATCAACAATAATACTACAACACATCATTGATTTTTTTTCATAAGCTTTTAACATTATCTTAAAATGTGCCATCATATTTGCATTATCTCTTAAATCATACCATTCAGTTATACCACCAGTAAAATCTTGCATTGCTTCACATGCACTACCACCTCTTAAATTTTCATAGGAATCATGTAATTTTGCAAAAGCTTTCTCCAATAATGCACTCCAAAATTCATTTTTATTTGATGAATGCATATAAATTAAATGACCATTTTTTGTTGGTAAACGATCATCAACAACAATATCAACCCATTTACCAAATCTCCAAAATGAAAAACGAAATACACCAGCATAATTATTTTTAAAACTTTGATCAGATGGTACAACTTTTCTAAAAAGATCTTCATGTAAAGTTAAATTAGCAACAGCTGCCAATAACCAACAATCACCAAGTTCACCTTGTTTACAATCAAAACGATCATGTCCATCAACTATAAATTCAGGATCATCACATATTTCATGTGGTCTTAACCATTTTATTTTTGCATCAACATCACCAGAATGTTTTAATGATTTTTCTGTTGCCGGAAATTGTTTATCTTTGAAAAGTTTTCCTTTCTTAGTAACCTTTTCCAATATCTTATTATAATCATCGTGTTCATCCTCTTTATGTGATGATTTCTTTCCAAATAATCGAAAACATTTTGTTATTTCTGAAATATCAGTTTTAATAATAATTTCATTTTCAATTATTTCATCATCAATACAATCAATATCTTCATAATTATAATCTTGTATTTCAGCATCAATAAATTCTAGTTCTGAATAATTTTCTAATATTTGTGCCGAATTTATTAAACGAGTTTCTAATAAATTTTTTTCATTATTATTTGGTGTATCAATAAAATGAATTTCCGTATCATTAAGAGTAGTTGCTGTTGGTTGTGCTCTAATTATTTCATTCTCTTGTGTATTCACTGTTGGCTCACTGCATCTTAATTCATTTATCCTTTTCTCTACAGAACAAAAGAAATTTCGAATTCTTGTAAACCATTCCATATTTTTATAAAGTAACAAGATTATCCATTTAATGTTTGAAAATTAACTAGTATGTTTATACATATATGCCCCAATATGTATACATGTATGTATGTATATGAATATAAGTGATTCCCAGTGATAATATAAAAAAAAAAGAATTTTCACTATAACACACCCTGTTTTAAAATGTTTATATAGTATGCCCGCCCTCCTCCGAAGGGAATACTTAGAAACCGTGAATTTTCAAATGTAATTTTTTTAAAATAATTTTATTTTTGTTTAAAATCATTATGTTTTTATTAATTGATACAATTATGTTTTTTATTGTCATAATTAAAAATCAAATGCTTTAAAAATTTTAATCTAAATTTAATTCTTGTATAAAATGGCAAAATTCTAAACCGAGAAAAAAAAAATAAAACAATAAAAACTGAAAAAGCGAAAAAAAAAATTCAGGACGCACAGACTAACGGCGACAGTCTATAAACTGTTTAGAAAACTTATTCCGATGGGAAGATGACACAAACTGATTCTAACAATATTCTATACAAAACTGAATTGATGAAAGGATATTTTAATAAATTTTTACATTATAATTTCGCAAATATAATATACACATGCTTTTACGCATACTTATATACCTATATTTTTATAACAGTTTTTGTATATAAATAAATTTCCATAATATATACGAAAATAAATGAAATTTCCCATTATTTGGGACATAATTTTTGTGATTGTATTTTTTATTTTTGTTTGTTTACAAAAATATTTTATCAGGATTTTCTGATTATCCTTATCAGGAAAAGCACACATATGATTATACATCAAGTTCAATTACATTATACTTTTATTGTTGAAACAGTAAAATTATCAAATGTGCAACTTTAGTGGAAATTCAATGTAAAAGTTATAAATTAACGGTAACATAACCAAGTCTATGCGAGGTTAATTAAAGTCTATGCGAGGTTAATTATTCTTAAAATACTTTCAATTTCATTAAATTGGGAAAAAGATAAGTGAAATTAATTAACTAAATTAACTTTATTATAGAATTCCAAATTCCATTTGATAGTAATTGCATTTAATTGTAATTAATTCTAAATTATGCATTATGTTAGCATTGTTAATGAATATGCAAATAAATTCAAATATTTTTCAGTATTGGATCCAACATTGGTATAGGAATAATAACTACTTATGTATAAATTTTAAATTATAGAAAGAAATAAGTACAAACATATACAAAATTTATTTAATGGGAAAATTTTTTGGGACATTCAAAACAGCTGTTTTCTATAATAACAAATTGTGCGTTTGTATAAGCTCCACAAGAAAGAATATACGCTGTTAAAATGCGGATTGATTTCTATTGGGTAATTACAGAATATAAGATTAAATGTATAGGATTAATTTTAAAGAATTTTAAAAATTATCTTATCAGAAACTATATAGTGTTACGACTGCTGAAAATATCTTTTGCTACTGACAATTAGACAGTATACATATAAGATAGCATATCCATCAATATAAAATTTTAATAATATTTTAAAAAATGGTCCAGTTTTTTTTTTTTGTAAATTAAAGTATTTTTAATAGATTTAAGAAATTTTAGAGTCTCGCAGAACTATGTCGTTCCCATATTAAGATTCACAATTTAAATCACAGCACAAATACCAAAAAATCCCTAAATTAATAAGTCATATTTGAAATCAGTCATTTTTTATGTTTGACAAATAAAGCATTTGACATATTAATTAATAATAATATTTTTTAATAAAAATTTTATTAAATAACTCACAATAATCTTCACAATAATAGCACACATACGTATATGTACATATATTCGTCACGTAAAGGCTTCACGGTTATTTTCTTATCATAGATTTTTACTCATACAAGTGTGCTTTAGTCCGCAATATGTACTATATACAAAATATTAAAATATCAACTGATCCATTTACAAAAATAGCAAAAACGATGTTAAAACTTTCATATCAATGTAAATCAACAGGTGTTTGCATTATGTGTTCACATTTACATACATATGTATATTCATATTTTATATACATATATATACATATATATATATATATCATTCTCAAATATATGATATATATAAATATACCATATTAAAAATTTCCCATTTCTAAAAAAAAATACTCCGTTTATGCTACTTCACTTCACACCATTTTTAAGTGCGTGGTATATGCCAACAAAGCAATTTTCACATTGATAAGAAAGGATTTTTTTTTTACACTCCAATGAACAAATAATGGAATAATGCAAAATATTTATAGTATATTTCTTTTTTGTATATACTTTATAAACACGCCGGTGTCAAACATAAACTGTACATATGTATAGTATATTCATAATTATTTAAAAATACAATAGAAACTGGATCAGGGATTTATTTTTAAAAATGTTTTTTTTTTAAATTTCAGTAGTAATTATGTATTTATTTTACGATTCGAAAACTTTACGAGTGAATGAAGGTTTGACCCAAAAGATTTAACTTAAAACTCTTTTACTGACAAACTTGGAAATTATTTCCTAAGGTTATTAAAATATCCCTTCAGTAATATACTCGTAATGTTAATAACATTTGAAAATTATCCTTTTATGTATGGAGCATCGAGCACTATAATAACACAAAACTAATTTCCAAGAAATTTCTATTCATTCGGAAATTAGTTTCGATTAAAATATTTGAATATATTTTTAATTCTTATGTAGTGACCTTATTCTTTTTAGTTCTTATTCTTATTATTCTTTTTATTCTTATTCAAGCACAACTATTTAAATTTTTTTTGCAACCAATAAAAATTAAATGAAATTTAACTATTTTAAATAATTCGTTATAACTGTTATATAATTGTATTAGTATACTTACTTACTATAGCAATATATGTATAAATAAACAAATTGTTATACATATCTAGATATATTAAATTGAAAGAAGACTTGTAAAATTCATTCACATAAAAATGGAAATTTTTATCATAGACCACAAGAAAATAATTAAATAACTTGATTTTTATTTTTTACTTGTAAATAAAAAAAAATACGATATAGCTATTTAATTTGCATAATTATAATGACATAACCGTACAAAAATTTCAATAATTTATTCATGACTGCCCTAATTTTGCCACATAGTGGTAAATGGTCATAAAAACTTGTAGATATTGGTAAAGCATAATCATTGAGGTTTTGCAGTATCGTTTTTTAACCTATTTAATTTTTAAAAGTTAATATTTAGAATTGTATACAAAATTTTTGGAGAATTTCACAAAAAAAATTATATTCATAGTTATTTACTTTAATTTTTATTTAAATTATTCATTTCTATTAAATTTTTTGTTTTTGTTCTCCTGAAAATATGCAATAATAATTATTTTAATTATATATTAATTTCCAATGTTTATCGTAAACTAAATATCGTAACAATATTATTATGTTTTTAGATGGATGTAGGTTTGAGATGAAAAAATGTTATGCACCGTTTACAAATTGTTATTCATTATTTTGTAAGCCTTTAACGAAAATTCCGGTTTTATTCGAAATATCCTCAGAATACTACTTATCTACAAATGCACTAAAAAATTTTGAAAATTCCAAAAAATGAAAAGCAGAATTTGTCCTGTATATATTAACAATACGTATATATATGCACATGTATATATGATACTAATTCAGAAATAAAATAATGATCTTAAAAATAATAATGCGACTGGACAATATTATTGCCACTTTCCTTTAATAATATTAGAAAATGAAACATGTAGCAAAAATATCGTGATCTGTAATTAAATACCTAAATGAACACACATCCATACATATAGAATTATTATGTTATATATCATGTATAACAAATTCATAATATAAAAAAAAATCAAAAATTTCTGAAAAGACTAGAAATAATTTAAACTATTTTAATATTACGTACATACATATGTACATACATACATACATACATAGATATCTTTTTCTGTGACGAGTTTTTTTGCCTCCGAAATAATCTTACTTCGAAAATAGTTTTTAAATATAAAGCATATTTTTATTATTCAAAGGAGAATCCTCTATTGGCTTTGATCCAAATCGATCAAATTTTATTAAAATATCGTCACACTGACGCTTAAATGGCGGCGTTAAAATCGTATGATTTTTTTTTTAATTTTAAGTGATATTCATTTCTTATCACAAGATTATAATTTGCGTACATGTACCTACATACCTACATACCTAAAACTAAGTTGTATCTTTTTTACGTTATTAAAATTACTGTTACGTACAAAATAATTGAACATTAATCAAAACAAAATTATTTACTGCTTAATTAGTGTTTCTTAACTTGCCAAATGTTTATGTTAATCTACTAACTAAATAAATATTTCAGTTGAATCACCGCACTCTTCTCACTATAAAACCCATAAATATGTACTCATAATGTATGTATGCATGTACATATTTTCAATAGCAGGTACGAATAGTATTATTAGATATTCTCTTGTCGCCGAATGTTTACTAAAATTAAAAAAATTATTCAATATTGTTGCACAACAAAATATTTATGCGTGTTTAGAGAACCTAACGCCAATTTTTTTTTTTTTCCAAATATTTCAAGTATTAGAATTTTTTCTAAAATTTTGCATTGATTAAATTAACAAATTTAAAAATAATAGTATAAACATTTAGTTCATCAACACATAAAATCACATTGTATTCGATGTAAACAAAAATATCAAAATAAAATTTTACTAGAATAGAATCAAACACTAACAAACTGAATTAGATATGAACTACGTAGAATATTTTAGTATTCATTGTATGTATAGGTAAAGTGATAATCAGCGCTGATGTTTATTTCCTAGTTTATATGCACTCAAATAATTTATATTTTCAAATAAAATTTTCAAGCACAATTCATATGACGTTTATAATATCAGATTTTTGCAATAGTACACAGATGTTATTTGCAAAATCAGATTTAAAATTTGGCAATAGGTGTAGTTTACTATGTAATATTATATTTATAAGCAAATTAGGTATATACCGCCTTTGCAAATTATCAAAACCACCAAGTATCAAAACGACATCAGTTACAATTTTCTGCAAAAGTACGAACTGTCATTGGGCTACTTTTTTTTTGCTTTTGGAAACAACACCAGCAAAAATTTTAATCCATAATTGTCAAATGACATGTCAAAAACTTTTTAGAAATTATGTTTTGGATTAGCATCAAATTTTTGGAAAATAATATAATATCTTTCACTAGAATTCCTCAACTTTTCTAAGTACATTACCTTTGTGATGAAAAAACAAAAAATTTTTACTTAATTAAATTATGCGTGTTTACACGACGGGTTTTTCATCAATGGTTGACATACATATATAGGTATATATTTCATTCCCCTTGCATAAAAGTTTTGTTGACCATTGATGAAATTGGCGCAAAAATCATCTTATAAAAACATGTAATTATTATAAACTATAGTTCCCCATATTTGAAATATTTAAGAAGATAGAGAAAAAAAATAATCTAGACTCTATAGTAAAATAAATGTCATAATCCAGGTATTCGTTATATCGAATGGGTTTGCACACTAATTAAAGAACTTTTTATGTAGTTATTGCTCCACATTTTCAACAACATTACAACATTAATAATTATTTGAGTAAAATGCGATTATTTTTTTTTATTTTTGCAAAAATATGTTTACCTTGAAAGATAAATTGACGTAATATTTATTTGTTTTTAGTTAAATACGTTTTACACATCTTGTGTTAAAAGTTTAAGAAAACAACTTTTCTTTTAAGAGTACTTGTACATAATTTTTTATATAAACACACACACAAACATTCCTTTACTATTTATTAACGATATCAACAGGCGAGCCCACTTTTAGAAAGAGTAGATATTGTTTCTGTTATTTTCTATATACTTTATATTTATTCCTTAATTCCATTCATGCCAAAATTTTGTACCGTATATTGTGCTTTATGTAGATTAGATAACACATACTACTGATATATAGTCTTATTAACACGCGAGTATGTATTTATGTATGTAAGAATTTACTTTATCGACGAGTAGAGAATTTTCTTTGAAGTAATCAACCTAAAAATCGTACGATATTCATCGAAAATACGCAACTCTTTTATTTATCTCGTTTTATTTTAAGTATTCAGTATTTACAATTCAACGTGCTTTTTGTTTAGTTGAAAAAATATCGGTATCTCTTTTTAGCTCATAATATAACAGAATATGCATGTGTGTCGATTTTGTTTTTGATATTTTTGCGTTGTATCATTGTGTGTGACTTTATGAGAAAATTGAAAAATAAATGGTTAACGGTATTCCAGAAAAGTATACGACGATGTAAAGAATTAGGAAGGTTTTTAAATTTATGATCTACTTATTAAAACCAAAGCGGTGAATAGCAACGATGGACGCAGATAATGTGGCAAAGAACTTGTGGTAAAATAGGAATTTATGTTATTTTACCGTTGGCGGCCAAAATTCGCTATTGTAACTTCAGTTGATTTAATTGAGTACAGCCGCATTTGAATATGTGTATTTTATATGAATTCTGATATTTCGCCGTTAAAAATACCTTTTTTTTCTGTTTTTAACTTAAACGAAAATTCATTGCGTTTAAGCCCATCTAACTAACCGTCAAATGGGTTGTCAAACGTCCAAATTGTAATTTATTTAAATCCAATGTTATAATTTAAAAATGCATTTGCTAATAAATTTGTTGGTGAGGATTGACATTTGTCAACCGGTAACAACACTTTCTTGATTGTAAATCACATTATCACAGACCAACAATACACAGATCATATATACTAAATTTGTTGTGTTTACATAAAAGTGATCGCATTAATGGTTGAAATTCGTTACATTTTATTTACCTATAAACTAATTTTTTGATTGCTGATAACGTGGTTTAAAACCACAACAATTGATGTCAGGTTTAGGACATTTGTTCGAGTAAGTTGCGTTAGATTAGGCAAAATGCAATACCATTTTTTAAATAATTTTTAAGACTTGTGAAAATCGTAACGCTTCCAACACTGTGAACATTGTCCATGAAACATGTATATTCAACTGTCAAATTTTTATATGACAATGTCAAAATTAATAAAAAACACTTATTTTCAAAATTTCATTCGACAATTATATATTAAATCAAAGAATCTAAAATAATTTCATATTTTATTTTTCCCTCTACTTTATTTATTTTCTACAACACAAATGTAACTTTTTTGTATAACAATAATAGTATTGTAAACATAAATATTTTTCAATTTTTCAGTTTTTCACAAGAAATTTGCTGTTTACTTTTTTATATACGTATCAAGAGTTTAGTACGAATCATACTGTTAATAATGAGATCGTAAAAATATTGTTAGAACATTGGCATTGCAGTAAATAATAAAAATATTTAAATAAGTAAAAGTAAATAGATAAAATTAATTACATACCTACACTACATGCATATTTTTGTATTATCTAGAAAATTTTTTAAACTTAAAAAATAGTTTAAAATTATAATATGTATACACGTATGTACATATCTAATTATATGAGAGAATTTATTTTTAATACATAGTGGCTGCTATTGTGATTTTTAATTGATGAAACTTATTAAGTGTTTTTCAAATATAAAAATAGTTTACGTGTTGTTGTTTGTATCTTATTTTTTTTATTTTTGTTTTGCAAAACATCGCGCGATGTTTTCAATTTTGATTTTTTTTTGGGAAAAATAATAAATATCAAGAAAAGATAAATAGTAAAAAATTCAATTTCTTCAACAGTATTTGAACAAAACTAGAACTGAAAGCACATAATAAAGACACTAAAAAAACAATATTAAAAAAAAAAACTTTATAAAAATTTAAAAACTGAAAAAGAATTGAAAAATATACACACATACATACATAAATAAAGAAATACAAAAATTAAAGTGATAACAATTACAATATTGTGAATTGTGAAAAATTATTTTATAAATTGAAAAATTAGAGGAAGTGATTTCATTTAATTTAAAATAATCTTGAAAAATAAAAAAAAACTTGAAGTTTCATAATTCAATAACAAAGAAAAGAAGATTAAAATAAGTGCATTTTAAGCAGAAAATAAAAAAAAAAAAGAATATTGAAAGAATTGCAAATCATTTTTTATTGATTTTTTTTTTTTTACTAAATTTAAGAAGATAAGAAATTAAAAATATATTGAAAATTTTTTGAATTAGAAGAGAATTTAAAAACTTTTTTGTCATTTAATTTAAAACTTAAAGTTTTGGAAGACGAAATGTCTTCAGGTGTTTATAATTTACAACGTTATCGTAAAGTTGTTGGTGGAGCTGGAATTTTGACTGCGTAAGTTCTATTTTATATTAACCCTTTTTGAGTACATTCCAAGTTACAAAAGAGAGGTGTGTAGACCACCTACATGCCTAAATTGTGCGCATATTTTAAATTACGTGTACCTAATATAGAATATTATTAATATTGCACGGGAACAATATAAATAAAAAATATTGTAATAATTAATTTTGCGTTTCAAATTATTTATTGCTAATATTCACACGAAAAAAATTTTTTAATTTCTAATATTTAAGTATGCACATACATTATAGATATAAATTATAGATATAAATAAGTATTAAATATTCAAAAATTTAAAAAAAATCATTTTCTATTTTTTCTTTGCCGAGGTCACTCATTCCCTCATACTTAAATTTAGTTGCTTTATACACACACCTATGTATACATATCTATATTCTATTCATAAAATAGTGGTCTTTTCTTCAAATCAAGCAAGAAAAATTTTATACAATAAGGAACAACATATAAATCGAAGACAAATTTAAATGTGCCATGTTGTATACCATTAAATAAAATATGCTTTTTTGAAAGTACTTATATTTACTCTTATATACATATCTATTATATGATTAATAATTTATGTATACGTATATAGCAACAAAAAGTTGCAACGCATTAAAGATATACAAAAATCATACGATATTAATTTTAACAACATTCGATTCTTATGCTTGAGTCATAGCGGGGTTAAAGATATATACATATTTATAATGTTGAATTAAAGTAAAAACAAATACATACATATATAAAATATTATATACGCCTGTATTACAAATATAACATCAGATGTTTTTTGTTATTGTTTGACGTCATGCGCTATAAAAATAGACAACATGATGGTGTGATGTAGCATTATCCTTTAAAAAAAATTTGTAAATTTTACAATGATTCATTTGATCAAAGAAATTGAATGATAGATTTTATTAGAAATTATAATATTATTTTTTCTATAATTAAAAGAGAAATTCATAATACATACTTTAATTAAAAAATAATAATATGACAAATGGTATGTGTACATTTTTATTGTCAAAATTTTTTTATGGCATTTATGTAAAAGTAATTGTCATTATATTATCTAAAGTAGAGTTGCCGCTTAATAATGTGAATTAAAAATTTAGTATATTTTTATTTGTTGATGAGTACGATATGAAAAGTTTTTTATCGTAAATTATGGTAAATAAACAGAAGTCATCATAGCAAACAGCAATTATGTATTAATTATTCAATTATAAAGCATTCGATCATAAGTATTAAAATATTATACAATTGCTGTTATTATAAATACGATATTTTATATATGTATCTATAAAAATTTTCATGTTCTATCTAAAAAAACAAAATTTTAAAATTAGGTTAAAAAACGTAATTTTCATTTGATGTTTATCTAATTTATAAAAATAGAAATTTAATTCATAAGAATATTTGAGAATTTCAGATTTCTCATAGAATGTACCACTACATAAATAAATATTGAAAGATATTATTTTAAAAACATATTGCACTGCATTACCAGTTCAGTTAAGAGACAATTCGGTTTGTGTCTTAACTGAATCAATATTAATGGTTTTATAGGATCAACGCATTTACTATTATTTCTATACCAGAAATAATAGTAAATTCTAAAAATTATAAGAAAATTTAAAAAAACAAATATATAAAATTAAAATTAAAAATAAATTTAACACGATTTTAACATTTTTTCTTACAGTTGTGCTTTGTTATATCTCGAAAAACGACGAATTGAAAAATATTTTAATGGATTAGTTGATACTAGAGTTTTGGACATTGATAAGAAGAGACCTGATTACATTTATATTAAATATCATATATATCGTGAATCTATGCGTAAATTGAAAAGACAACAAGAACAAAATGCTGTACGTATACAGAAGAATTTAATTAATATGAATTTTATTTCTATATCCTTTACCTAAATTTGAGATCAATTTTTAATTATAGTTTAATCTATTTACAGAATTGGATTAACGTTATTATTCATCCTATTGGAAAATGGTGGAAGACATTTAAACATTCTGTTGCTTGGCGCCTCTTAAACATTGCTCAAAATGGAAATCAATTCGAGCGTATGAAAGCTGTTCATCAATTAGCAATGATTGATCATTTAAAAGATTGGGATTTTCGTCATTTAGCACAAATTTGTGATGCACGTACAGCAGTTTCATTAGCTAGATCAGGATGTGATAAACGTTGGTTTGTTCCAGTTCCAATGGCTGGTGTTATTAAAAATCCAAAAATTGTATTAAGTGATTTACACAAAATGTTGGAAGACATGAAATCAAATTCATGTGTACAACATTTTTTGAAAAAATATTTTCCTGTTCAAGATAATATTAAAGATGCTGATATGGATGAATTTATATCACAAGGAAGTTTTATATCAACACCGGATTGTGATTTATTGAAAGAATGTATTGCATTTTTGCATCATTTAACAAAAGATGAAAAAATGTGTGAAAGATTAATCAAAGATGGAGCACTTATACTGCTTTTAGAATTAAAAAAGATTTTTGAAAAAGATTATGAAACTTTAAATACTCTATGTAAAGTTATGGCAAATTTATCAATGGCTGATGATTGTGTTAATGATTTCTTTCAAAGTGGTGAGTTAATTTTCAAATTGTGAAACAGACCGAGTTCTTTTAAATTTGTACTTAAAAACAATTTTTTTTTAATTTTTTAGGTTGGGTTACAGTTCTAGCTGAATGGAGAGAACATCCAGACATGAGATTGCAAGTCATTGCAGCAAAAGCTCTTGCAAACTTGGACTACGATGATGTGAATCATGAAAAATATCCTCCAAATGTATATCCTTTATATCCGAGAACAAGACAACTTACCAAACCAAAAGCTGATATAATATTTACTCATGGACTTCTTGGTGGTGTTTTCATTACATGGCGTCAAAAAGATAAAAAACCGGCAGAATTGAACCTTTATGGCAAGAATGCTTTTTATACAAGTGAGTCGGATGATGTATTTTTAGTTGGTGAGAATAAACGTGTAAATGGATTAAAATCTAAAACTGAAGAAAAGGTCAAAGGAAATATTTTATTAAATGAGGCTCCAATCCTTACATCTAACTCAAATATCAAATCTCCAAAAAGACAAAAACGTCAACTGCCAGATATTAGTGATGCAGCTACAAAAGAGTTAGTTGAAGAATTGCAAACTGAAGCTGAATTAGAAAATGATTGGGAAGTTGTATATCCCGATGTTCCATTAAAATCAAATGAAAAATGTGCCGGAGAATTCAGTGTTACTGGTGCAAATTGGGTTAACGACGACGAATCAGAAGATTATACACATTGCTGGCCAATGGATTGGTTACCAGAGGATTTTCCAAATGTCAGGTAGATAATATTAAATATTATACCAAAATCTTATAATTGCAAATCTTAATATAAATATTTCATACTTTTATTTTAGAATCCTTGGAATTGATTATACATCAATTGTAACAGAATGGTCAGCACATTATTCCAAATACTGCCCATGTGAGAAAGGACAAGGTCGTATAGATGAACGTTCCACACTATTATTAAAAAGATTAGCACGTTCCAATATTGGTAAAGATAGACCAATAGTTTGGGTTGGACATTCCATGGGTGGTATTTTAACTAAAAATATTCTACTTAAGTCATTAGAACATTCAGAGGAAAGTTTTCGTCGTGTTGCTAAAAGCACAAAAGGAATCGTATTCTTAGGCACACCTCACCGTGGTAGCCCGTTGGCAAAATGGAAACAAACTATTCAACCGTTAATAGCACCTTCAATTGAAGTTAAAGAAATGGAAGAAAATAATCCGAAATTATTAGCTATGCATAATCGTTTTATGGGAGCATTAAATACTCAACTAAAAGATGTTAACGTTGTTAGCATTGTAGAAGGCACTCCAACTATGTTTTCATCATTTAAATTTCCACTAACAATTGTTACAGAAGAATCAGCTCATATGAGTGTTGGTGATTTTTATGTATTACAATATGATCATCTTAGTTTAAGTAAGCCAGTATTTAGGCAATCTTTTCTTTATCAAAGACTGTTGCAAGTTATTGATGAGACTGTCAATGAAAAGCCAAAAGGTAATAGTACTAATGTTCATAAACATTCAACACAGCTAGATGATCAAAAATCAAATTTTGCCATTAATTTCTTAAAGGAAAAGACTAATGAAATTTTAAATTTATTTCCAAATGTTTTTTATAAATTTATAACATTAGTTGAAATGCAAGAGTATGATGACTAAGTAATTGTACTTCACTGAAAATGAAAACAATTTTGTAATTTAATGTAGATATATTTATTTAATTCCACTAATTAGATATTTATTTGTAATTAAAGAAATGTATCATTTCTTTAAGATGTAGCACTTTAGCTTTTTTAAGAAGTTATTTAATATTTACTTATAGTTATTTATATTTTTTTTTAAAGTAAAACAATTTATGAAAAATTAAAAAAAAAAAAAGAAAAAAAAAAACAAAATATTTTTACAATTTTTATACATATGAATAAATTTAATAATTTAGATTAAAATAAAAAATGTGAAAAAGAAAGACAAAGTCTTTATTTTTGTGAATTTCGAATTTTCCAAATGTTTTATGTTTTGAATACCTTCAAATTATGTATCTCTATTATAAAATGTATTAATCCATTATGTATAATTTTTTTTTTTATAATGGAATTTAAATATGCTTTAAAAGAATGAAATAAAGATTTGTTTGTTATTTCAGTATTAAATTTTGTGTTTCTAATTAATAAGTTTCAATGTTCTTTGTTAATACTTATCTGCAATATTACAGATATTAAAAATATTTAATTAAATACATTCTGTATTAATGTGTTAACAGCAAATATCTGAAATCGACTGAAACTGAAAGTTCTAACTCAAATTTTGGAAAAATTTCTTTCATCATTATGACATACAGGAACTAACCAGCTTACATTTACAGATTTTCTTTTTTTCAAGATTAACATATTTTTGCAGCATTCAAAGAAAATCTTTTAAAAATGCTTAAGAACTTTATGCAAGGTACGATTTTCAAAATTCTTTTGTAATAAAAATTTATCGAACATGATTTATGTTAAGCTCTTAAATTAAAATTGAGTTCGCAATATAATATGAGATTTAAATGTACTTATGTTTTTATATAAACTCAACCATAAAGGTAAAATTTCATTTGGTCAAGTTTAAACATTATTCAAAGATCATCAAACAATACATATTTTATACACATACATGCATAATGAAAAACAGATAATTATAAATATTGTAAGAGAACGAGTGAGAATCCAATTAAATTCAATAATATTTCAAATATAATACAATGCTCTTAGTAATAATAATCGGCAGCACTTATTTCTACAAACACACTGCAAAAAAGCTTAATTTTTAAGCTTTTTGTTATTCAACACATATGTTTTTTGTTTTAGTTTTAAATAATAAAAACAAAAACAAAAAAAAAACAAAAGATAAAATTTAAAAAGCTAAAAGTTTTATTAAGTATTTCCCACCTAGATGGGAGAATACTCTATTTATATTGCAGCATTTTATCTTTGCAGACTGCGCAACATTACCTTAATTGTTTGCCTGCTTGAGTAATATTTACATTGGTTTTACTTTATAATTTTAAAATCAAAAGCAAAAAAAAAAAAAAAAAAACTGTACCGAAATTTTATTTTACGGCGCAAAATATTTTGTTTTAGTTTAAAAAGCGCTCGCGACCAAATCACACCGTTACAGAATGTATTTATTTACACGGTTATCATGTTATTTTATTTAAAGAAATACAATCACTCAAACATATTTTGTAATTATGTTGTATATTTTATAATTTATTAATTTGTTATTTTATATTTATGTTGGTGAGCATAATTTGTGTTATTTTTAGCCCAAAAATTGGAAAAAAAAAAATTTGTAGGCGGTTGAAAAATACTGGAAAGAAATCTTAGCTGAACATAATTTTATTTTTTTTTTTTTAAAACACTTTGAAAGAAATTTTGTCTTATCTTTAGAAAAAAAAACCAAAAAAAATTAATAAATACTGAATTAATTATGTGTGATGATGTAAAAATTTTCAATAATATTATAAAAACTTTATAGACCATACAAAAGCTATTTTTATTCAATTATATAGGGAGCTTCCAGTTTGGATTAAAGTGTTTGAAATAATTATTATTGGTAAAACTCTTCTTTTATAATTTTTACTATTTGTTGTTTTAAGCAAATTAATTTTAATATGAAGATGAATTTGGAATACATAATGTGTGTATGCCCGAATGAAACTAATTGTAATTGGACTTATTATAAACACGAATTGTAAGTAGGTATTTTGTTAGTAAATTTTAATGTCATGTTGATATGAAAATCATAATTTGCTTATAATAATGTCATTATAAGGTTAAAATTATTAAAAAGGGGCAAAAGAATATAATCAATTGTCATTTTCATTATCTTATAAATTCGCGTAACATTAATAAATAATATTTATGTACATATTATGTAGATCAAAATAGAAATATTTTAATGTCAAATATTGAACTTTTATACAAAGATCAGAGCTTATTTAAAAGTATAGAAGAAGCAATAAAAAGTAAAATTACTTATTTCTTTTAGTTTATGTTTAAAATTTAAGAGTGAGATTTTAATGCTTAATATTTTAATTTCTGATAAGATTTTATTAAAATTTTTTGATACTAGAGTATGGTCTATTTTTAATTTTTGATACTAGAGTATCTCTGAAAATTTTTAATTTTAAATATTTATTTTTTAATTTAACTTTATTTAATTTTTATTTAAATCTTACTAAAATCTAAATTTATTTATCAAAATAGGGGTATTAACATAAACAGTTTCTAAACATTGTAGTTAAACAATCTTAAAAGTAGGTCATATAAAGATATCAGAAAGAGAAGAAATAATTTCCCTTTCGCAATATTTTATGAAAATTTCAAAAATAATTTAAGATTTACAAAGCTTAAAAGATTTTATTTTTCTGCATATTTTAAGTGATGGAATTCTTAAATCATATTTAAGTTAAAAACTAACTGGTTTAGTGTCAGTCGGGCCCACATAATTTAGATAAAAATATTCGTATTCAAGTAGTAATCCTTTTGAAATAAAACAGCTTGAGATGGCAGATGATTAAATTAATCAATTGACTGCAATTCTAATTACGTTAAAGTCATAAAGCCTATGTCAACTTATATTATTTTCTTTGTCAATAAAAATTGTGCAGGAAACTACCTACTTTTTTAAGAAAGAGATACGGATTGAAAAGTATTACCGGCATTTTATATATTGCATATTCCTTAGAAATAGAATTTTTGCTTGATTTAAATAAATTAAAACAATTTTTTTTGCTTCGCATTGTCATAACACACATGTTGCAAGGATTGTCCCGACAAAATTATTCGAATTTGAAAAAATTAACAAATATATAACGTAATGAAACTGGGCCATGACTATGTATGATATCATGCACTAGCCTTACTAGGAGTGAAGAAGGAAAAACAAAAAAATATTTTAGCAAAATTTAAAAGCCTTATATCATTTAGGCAATAAATTTTAACTTTACATTTGTCAAAACGCACTCCTACGCAAGCTCTTCAGAATAATAAAGAAATTCCCGAGCTAATATTTTAAGTTCTATTAATTTTTTCTAATTGTTCATTTGAAATAAGCATGATTAGAAGTTTTTGTTGAGATTTTCTGTAATTAAATTCATTAATAATTTTAAAATTTTTATCAAATTACTTAAATAATAAGTTTAAAAATAAAATTTTGAGCTCTTAACATTTTTTTAATACCACATATTATAAATTTTGCCGGTAATTTATTTATTATAGATAAGAAAATAAAATTATTATAACTTTATTTATTTATTTATATTTAAATTCAAGAATATTATGTGCATTATATTCAGAAAATTAGAATAGACAAGAAAATGAAACAATGAACTGATAAGAAAATACTATCGTTCAGTTCTATATTAAAGCTATAAAATGAAAATTTTATTTATGGGGTGCGAAGGTCGATATCAGACAATTAGATTAGAAAATTAATTAGCTTGCAAAACAGTATGTTTTGAAATTATTTCAAAATATTTAAATCTGCTTATTATGGATAATTTAATCTTTGCTGTTTTATTAATAATAAGATTTTGAGATTTAAGTGGCGGTGAAATAATTTTAATTTACAATTTAAGCGGACAATTTAATTTTGTATAACAGTTTGATTTTCTAATGAGTTTCTCCGGCAATAAGTTATTTACATGAAATCTTTCTCTCTAAATTATAATTTTCGTAATTGCCCTGAGGGAAGGGAGATTTATATTATATACACATACAAAAATACAAATGCATCATGAAAACATGTTTAGTATTATTTTTTTTATATTAATAATAGATCTTGGCTTCCATATCAATCAAAAATTATCATTTTAAATAATCAGTTATCACTACATAATTCAATTATTGTGCTATAATTGTTTCATGTAATTCACCATTTTAAAAAGCTATGTATAAAAATTAGAGCGAAATCATCAAATTACAATTATCACAATTTATAATTTTGAATGTATAGAGTTTTCATTTTTTTTGCTAAGTATAAAATTTAATTGTTTGTAGTACCTGTAAGAATTTAAAAAATTCCGTACTCGTTCACACTTGTTATTTTAATTATAAAATTTTTGCTTTTTAAAAGTGTTAAAATTAAAGCAAGTGTTTTTTTTTTAATGAAATTGTTCATGTATTTTTTCATTGATTTCAATGTTGATTATAATAATTGATTGTTACCTATATTTAAAAAAAAAATCTCAGTTTAAATGCAATTATAAACAATTAACAACGATTGTTATACTTATAATTAAAAATAATTGTTTGAAATAGAAATTAAAATTAAATTTGAAAAAAAAAAATTATGAACAACATTTTTCTTTTTTCACAGTTCAATGGCCGATTGTAATGCAATTATCGTGACAATATTCTAATTTGATTTAAAAAATAAATAAAATTGTTGTTATTTTGAAAACGTTTTATTATAAGTATATACATGTGTGTATATGAAAATATATGTATACGATAAATTACGAAAAAAAAACCTAAAATAAAAATATAGATAAAAGTTATAAGATTTTCAATTAAAATATTATAAGTACACTAAAAAACCAAAATAAACCAAAATAGGTCATTGGCTTGGCTACACTAAAAATGAAATGAAAAGTAAATAAAAGAAAAAATTTATTTTTGTTTACAAATAAAGAGTAAAATATAAAATAAAAACGTGTTGAGAGAGAAGAAATTAAAATCATAGTAAGTAATATAACAGAAATATTATAAGAAGTGATATATGTGTATATATATATATTTATACAATATATATTAATACGTACAGGATAACGCAATCATATAATTGTATATGCGTGTGTACATCTCCAGAAATTTATGAAATACTATTTACGACTATACTTTTTACTAGTACTATATAAAACAAAATTAAATCGAAGCTGATATACTCGATATCGATTTTGATCTCTTCATTTTACTTGTT